CAAAGCGGGGTCCTCAGAAAGTGGTAACCTGGAGATCATTATGCAAAAAGTGGAAAAGACATGAATGCCCTTTTTATCTTTATCATTATCAAAAAGATGAGAGATTAACATTGATAAAGGTGGACATACATTTGTTGACTGAATATTGGTTTCTGAGAAGGTAAAAGTAAAGAGGAAAGCCCATCCATGATAGCTTTAATATCCACAGGTAAATACTTGATATGCCTCACTTTCTGCATATGGAAAACAAAATAATAATAAGGATTAATTTAATTCTCAGCAATAATATTATAATATGTTTTCATGTTATGAACATATATTTTATTTTTTTACCTCCTGTGTGATGAAAAATAACTGGAAGGAGATTTTCTCATAATGATGGAAAGCCCCATCAGCAATGGAAGGTGAGATGATGTGGCGCATTGAGCCCCACAATGTTGCACCCATGTGTGCAAGGAAAGTATCACGTGCAACTGTGTAATTATGTAAGTCCTGAAAGAGAAAAAAAAAACAACATAAATCACTAAAAATATACAGTACAGGGGCATAATGGTCATTTTACAAGTTTTTTTTTAAGGTCAATTTATAATGTGAGGGGACCAAAAGCTTTGTGAAACGGTGAAATAAGGACCAATTTGTTTTTGGAACTAAACGAAAAGATCAACTAAGTACAGGGACCAAATCTGTAAATTAGTTTAGAATAATTATAAATGTGGTATACCTGATAAGTATCATCAGTAAACAAATTCCAGCTTTCCATTCGTTTTAAAGCATCTACAGCTTTTTGTTTATGGATTTCAACAGATTCATCACTTTCAAAAGACTGGAGCTCTGATTTTAGGTCACGCATTCTCTCATCAAGCTCTGTATCCAAAAGTGAACATTTGATAAAAGATTTAAAAAGTGGGAAAATATCAAGAATATAGAGGATAATAATACATTAAGAAAAAAAAAAATTACCTTCACAAAGAGCAAGTTTCACCCTTCTTCCCCAACAATGTTTGAAAGCAAAAAGCTCATATATATCGATCTCTGCTAAAAGGATATCTATTGCTTGATGATCTTTCTGGCAAATTGAAGTACAGAATATATTAGGCATATGATAATAAGGAGAGAATTATCTTTTTGTTTTCATTTTTTATTTTTAATGCTCCTTTGTTATTAATGTTCTCTAAAATGAAGGATATGATATTTGATAAGATTGTATTGTAGTTAGAATACATACATCCCCAAATGCAGCAAACTTCTCCTGAATTGCATCTTGCAAGTGATCTTCAGCCTCTTCTTCAGTAATTTCTGATATCAACAATGAGAACAAAATTAGTAAATAAACATAATAACAAAGACAAATGCTAGCTCATAAGACTTCAGGAATGTGTTCATTAGTTTTTGAAACAGCATGATCTATGGAAATGATATCTAAACCGTATGAATGTGAGTAAATGACAATTTTACCCTTCTGTTCAAAAGTGATTAAACCTAATAATACCTGCAACTGCACCAATGGTCTTTTCCACATTTGGTAAGCTCAGCTCTGTACGCACACCTTCTCCACCAACAGCAGGTCCCCATGAAAAAGGACCTGCACTCAAATCAATAAAAGCCCACCTGACATTCAACAAATAATCAGTAATATATACATATACATATACATATACATATATATATATCTAGAGAGAGAGGGGGAACCTGTCTTTTCCAATCCATGTATCTGTAAGACATTCTGCATGGAGACCACTAAAATCACCAGATTTCAGATCCTTTGCCCATTGAAGCTTCATGTCTTCATTTTTCCCATTCAACAGCTTCAAACATTATTATATATATATTCTTCAGGTAATGTGACCTTTTTAAAATTTTAATATTTACATATATTATAGTAGATGATAAACCTGGATAACTTTTGATTGAATAATATCAGCCACGTCTTTCTCTTGATATTGCCTCTCAACATTGTTCAAAGCATTTAGACAACTATTATACCATTCTATCTGAAGTTATTATAATAAAGAACAAGATGTTAACAGATAGCATAACTGACGTAATTATGTAAACTGGTTTTTAGAGAAAAATGTGGGTTTGACTTTTTGACTTATTTGAGGTATACTAACCGTGTCTGTTTCTTCTGTTATTGTCCAGGAAAATTTTGCCATTGGATGTTTTTCATACAAGGGTCTCTTGATTTTGTCCATAGCTGTCACCATAAAGTTGTTTTTTAGAATATTTAAATTAATTATGAATAAATCTAAGTAGTATTATATCTGTATTGAGAAGATTAAAAGGGTAACATAATATTATTACACACCAAGAGTATTATCTGTTGTACTTCCTGCCCTAAGAATCTTGTCTTGTAAACTCTTATCCTGTATGGAAGAATATAAAGGGTCATTAGCCAATTCTCTGATAAGAACATATCTAGGGTCAAAACTGTAAATATACGAATTAAGAAGCAATGTAGTGTGTGCATTGTGCATGTGTAATTGTTTATCCAATAAAATATTAAGTATTATAAAAGGTAAATGAGATCATATGACAAAGGTCAAGAAAAGATATACATTTTAAAGCTACAAGGTAAAGGAAAGTACCTGTTTAAGAAAATTTATCTCACTCTCTGACAATCCTCTCCTGCAAAATTTTATAAAAAAAAAAAAAAATCAACTAAAAGCATGTCCATGAGTGCACACAAGATGCAGACAAATGATTAGCAATAGTTTTATCATCATTATGTTAAGAGTTCAGACTCAATTTTCATCTTCAATTTCACCAAATTTGAATCAAAAAATAAGCAATTTTTGTTACATTTGTTTAAAATGTAGATACATAACCCCATAAGAAGATATTTGTTATCAAACTAGAAAAGCTTAGAATTTAATTTCCTAACTAAATACGTACCTATAGCCATATTTACCTCTCTTTGCATCACGTTTAGGATTCGTTATGAAAATATTATATGCATTTTCAAGGTCAAGATATTCCACAAGGCTTGTGAACAAAACATCCATCATATCCACATCCACTTGCCAAAGTCGCTCATCCCTTCAAAAAAAAGTATTTATGTCAAAAATCACTATATAAATAAACATTGGAGAACAATTTAGAACTACAGGGGGTAATGTGTAATGTTTCCAAGGTTGAGGGGTGTCCTCTGTAATCTACCTGGTATGATTAACATCATCCTTACGAGAGAGGACAGCAATAGCATGCTCAAAAATGGAATTGACTTTTTCGCCCATTTGGATAGCATGAACAGAGAAGCTGCAGAAGTATATGAGAATATATATTCTTAGTAAATAACAAAAAACAATAAACAGAAAATAAAGGGAAAATGAGTAAGAGACATTACTTGTAATTTAGGTGACTAACAAGAGGAAGATGATGATGATGATGATCTCTATCTACCCTGTTTTTGTAGAATGGAGCAAGAACATCTACATCTTGTGGAATCCTAGTGTGTTCAAATATATGATCAATTTTTGTAAACCATCTCTCAAGTTCATCTGTGTGTAGCTTAAAGACTGTATCAATGTCACAAAAAAGAACCCATGAGCACACTAAATTAGTTCAAACTCCAAGAATTAAGTCATTAAAGGCAGATAAACTGAAAAAATCAAATGCTATGTTATATACCTTGATTCCCACTCCCTTCAAATCCTATAAAGATGAAATTCACAGGAACTGGAAGATACATATGTTCAACTTCTAAAATCTGTAGATAATTGGCAATGTTCCCTGAAATAATGAAACAAAGGTCATGCTTTTTTGTTTCATAAGTGATAACATAATGAATGTTTGTACTTTGAAAAGTGATAAGCAATATCATAATCACTAATCTTTGAAAAGGTATCGTTTGATATGATAATGATAATAAGACAATCCCCTAGAAAAGTTAGAGAAAAGAAAGAAAATGAGTACCTGCCTTGGTGTAATTAAGAACACTCGATTCTTCAACTGTGGTCTCCAAATCATCAAAATCTGCAAGTACCAATTAGTTGTAATCATGCAATGAGAAGACATCAAAAGAGTTAACTATAGAAACAAATTTTTCAAAAGACAAATTCATGTGCTAATAGAAGAAGAAAAAAAGATGAATGCATACCACTTCGTATGACAGCTTCACTCCAGAACTTACTCCTCTCTTTGAGATTAAACAATGAAAATACTGATGATCTCCCAGTTTTACGATTCTCTCCATATGATCTGCCTGCTATTAACTAGTATAAAGGGTAAATAAAGCAACTATCAATATACAATTGTTACAAATACTATAAGAAACACAAAACAACACATAATTTTTCAAATAAAATTGGGTATTATGACCATTGTCCTCATATAAACAAAATGAGTGATTATTAAGTTGATTTGGTATTTCCTGCATCAAGCATCATTGGCTAAAATCTAGCTAAATATGCAATAAGCCAATAACAAGTTGTGATATCATGCTAGGGGAGAAAAGGAGGAACAAAATTGAGAAGGGGGAGGGGGTATAAGGATGAACCTAAAAATATATCATAAGAATAAAAATTGACCATCAAAATGAAATTCACAACAAGAGCACTTTTGTGTAGCAAATGACTGATAATTCATAAGATACACACAATGAGAAGGGTAGCTTCAACTCAAAATTATTTATGCATTGCATGGTTCCAATTTGTTGTTTTTGCTACCACTTATAACTCCATGCATCCTTAAATTTTGCAGATATAAGAAAGTGGACTCTAGTCGCTAAGCCAAGGGTGTATAACACTTAACATTAAAATTGTTTGTACTTCCCCCGATCAATGTCAGTATCCTATGCTATTATCTTTAACCATATGGATTCTTTTTGGTGTTCAAACTCCTAACAACCTAACAAGCAAGTAGCCAAGTATAAGTGACTTTTGATTATTGTCAAGGGCATAGCTACTAATCTAGCACCAATATCTTCCGCCTACTCACTGCTTACAACTTGACCAGAAGATTGCATACCAACTGCGAAATCGAAATTCGATCTTTTGAATGCGTACAACTTCTTTACGAACTAGGTAGGAGACATATGATCGATAATCTCGGAACATGGAAACCCCACGAAAAATGATCATCAAAACAAATGAATTTCACTACGGATCGAATTTATGTAGCAACTAGAAAGTAATCGATAAGAGTGAAGGAATATGAAATGAGATTTGTTTTAACTTACCAGCAGCAGCAGGGAAATTAAGGGGAGGAAACGGATCAAGTGATGCATGAAGGACATCGAACCCTAAATCAAAATCTAATTGCCGTAATCAAAACAGATTGTAAAATTCAGATGTATTTCTGTTATTTCTACCCTAAAACATGAACTGAACAAGGATCTATCGTCGCCAACTATAGTGCAAGGGGGAGACTGACGAAGACGACGCGCAGACTATGGACTCCTGACTCCTGTATTGTTTATTTGTTCGGGCAAGAATAAGATGTTACCCCTTGCCCTTTAACTACTCTTGTATGGATGCACAAAAGGCCCAATAAAGTTTCTATAAATAGAAATGTCAAATGGATGTGTATGGTTAAAAAGCAAATTGCATTTTATTTTCATTTCTCCTCTTAAAAAATATATTAAAAAAAAAAAAAAAAAAAAAAAAAAAAAAAAAAAAAAAAAAAAAACTAGTAAACAATCTTTCATGTCATTGTTGTCGAATAAGTTTAACAAAATGTGTGAAGGCATTATACCTCCAAAGTGTATTGTAGTTTCCGTATGTGTTAGTATTATAATCATTTATAAAAATTTATATACTTTAATAAAAGATTTGAAGTTAGCGTTTTATCTAATGTATAACTGTCAAAATAGTTATGTAAACCGGGTTGTAAATTTTAATATATGATACGGCAATTTATAATTTAATATAATCGACAAATTATTTAATATTCATAGTCGTTTTGAAATTGATATAATTATGATATATGTTGTATAATTATAAGGATTGAGTATAAATAGCATATGACAAAATCCAAGTCATATGAATATAAATACAAAAATGTTATTTAATAAAATAACAAATTTCATAATAGGTTCAATATACCGGATAAAAAAATTTCATATAAACGATAATAACGATTTTAGTTTATATAAACCGTGTCAAAGAAATTGATATAATTTATAGAGTTTAACATGTATTTTCTCCCGAAAACAATAAAAGAGTTCAAATGGGGGTATTGAAACTCACAAATCATGTAAAAGAAATTGATATAATTTATAGAGTTTAACATGTATTCCCTCCCGAAAATAATAAAATAGTTAAAATAGGAGTAGTAAAACTCACAAATCGTGTAAAAGAAATTGATATAATTTATAGAGTTTAACATGTATTCCCTCCAGAAAATAATAAAAGAGTTAAAATGGGAGTAGTGAAATTCACTTGGTTCGCAGAAACAGCAAACACGAACTACTTGAAAATACGTAGTCTTCTCTTGTATTTATTTCTTTACCACTTACTTCTAATAGATGTAATACTAATATGCAAGAGTAATACTTATATTTTTGAGTTAGGAGGCTTGTTCTTGAGTGAAAACATTAGCACAACCGTTCATGCCTATTTACATGAATACAATTTTTATAATGAAAGTGGTTGAATGAAAACATTAGCACAACCGTTCATGTCTATTTACATGAATACAATTTTTATAATGAAAGTGGTTGAATACTTATGGCATCCACTGTGTTTAAGCACTAATTGGCACTATATCGGACATATAGAATCTACACCCACCGCACCAATCGAACCAAAGTTGAGTTATCTTTCCAATGGGACGAACCACGTCGTCTGGTTATTGTTCATGTGCCGCCACAAGCGATGGTGGTTTGGCAGCCGGCTAAACTTCTCGGTTTTATATCCTAACCTCAAAAATCCGTAACTTCCTCATACGAGCTCCGTTTTTTATGTTCTTTATATCCAAGCGTAGGTATTTCCGAGTACTACAACTTTCATATAGATTGTTTCAAGTTAAAATGAATATATATTTTTACGTATTATTTTATGAATAAGAGTATATACTTTTATTTAATAATACAACTTGATTAAGATGACAACTACTTAGAATTATGTAAATGTACTCTGATATAATTTAATCAATAAGAATGAAAAAATTGGGTTGAAAATTGGGATGTTACAGATTCTCTATTTAGAAACAATTGGACGTACCACACACCTCGCCTACAAATCCCCAACCATCAATTCATCGTGAGAATCATTCATAAATACAAGAGACATCATTCTCATAGTCGGGATATATCAGAGACAACAAAAGTTGTCGTTCCCGATTCACTTCCCTGATCACCCGAAACAATCAACTAACACATGTCCTAACTAAATTTAAAGAAAGCAGACCATTGATCTCATCTCAAGGCAACCATACCACATGAATCCTCTTGTGTATTCCCAAACTGCCATACTTACCGCCAAAAACCGCAACTATCTAACCTCGTGCTGGGTCTACATCCAAAATCTGAAAATCACATATCTGCTCTTTTCCTTTGAACATAGAAAGATAGAAGAACATAACTGTTAAAACCGTTGTCGTGCACGATTTAAACAAATAAAAATATAAATAAGACTGTTCTAAACTAATAAAAGTTGAAAATCATAAAAGAATAACTCAATTTAAAGGTTGGGAAAAATTCAATAAAGATAAAACAATTCTAGTTTCGCGGTGACTCCCCTAATCATGTAATTAACTTTCAACACAATACTTGATTGTGCACTTGTTTAAACTGGTATTGAAGTTCATTAGCGAGCTCTAATGACCTCTATTACAAAGATTATTTAATCAAAATAAGTTCTTTGAATTAAACCTAACTTTTTATCAAATTAACCAAACAAGCTATTGATTAACAAAGAAAAGTTGCATTAGACACAGTGTAATTTCCCAATAAAGTCCAATAGCTCTCATAAGCTCGGAGGCGTAAAAACTTGTTTGATCAATTCATATTAGAGTTAATCCTAAACAGAAAATTAATCCAATACTTGTTACTTTTTACAAATTAATCTAGACAATTACGGATCTAAACAATCAGCTAACAATAATGATTTACAAACAATTTAAGTGGCCAACAGAAATTGAAATCAAAATCAAACATTCAATTAAACATAGAATTGATCAAACTAGACAGTAATCACAGTTAAACATCGTGCCTAATGATTAATCACATGAAAATGTTGCATCTTGCGAAACTGAAATCTGAGTTTTTAGCCTGACATGGCTAAAAACGAATTACAAACTGAAGAAACGGAATCTAAACGATAATTCTTACTAAACAACGAAAATAAATCGAATAGTCTCCTTCGGATCTGCGTTCTTCACTTGAAAGTCTCTGAAAATCACCTTGGAATCGTCAAGAATCGCCAATTAGGGTTATTGGACAAGTATGTGTGTCTATTTATACGTCCGACAGTAAAAACGACGCGCATGTGATCGCATGTACGGAAGTTGTGATCGCATGTATTGTTGAAAACATGTCCTGGGCCTTTTAAATGAAGTACGTTGCTATTTCGAGATGTTTTGGCCAAGTTGCGATCGCAAGTAAGCAAGTTGCAATCGCATGGTATATGTAGTTGCGATCGCATAAACCTTCTTTTCTCATCTATGTGAATTTTTGGCACGAAAAATCTCTGAAGTCGAACTGCGACCAAACATGCGATCGCATGGTCAAAGTTGTGATCGCAAGTATAAGACGTGCGATCGCACGTCTTCATTTTTGTCTCTTTTTTATCGTCGTTCCTCCTTCCAAGTTGTTCTTGATCATTCCTCGGCATCCTTACTTAGTCTAGACTTCAGTTAAGCTCCAAAGCATCCACTAACGCATCCTGAACTTGCGTAATCATCCATGTGCTCCAAATTGCCCTAAAAATCATAACAAACGTGAGCAGTACGGGCATTCTACAAAATAACCACGAAACACATAATACATAGGAATAATCGGGAGTTAGTTAGCTTTTTATAACGAAATACTAAGCAAATTGTGCTAAAATGTAACATCCAAAAATGTGGTCCCAAAATTTTTCGATTTAATATTAGGTAAAATAGTAATTTTCCATGTCATCCAAACATTTGAAATAAACCAGTGTATCAAATTGTCATAAATCAGAGTAAAACATCATAACAAAATTCCAATGGTGTGTGCGATGCAGTCATCCCGAGCTCTTCCCCTTGGAACTAGAGGTACCTGAAACATAAACTGAAAACCGTAAGCACAAAGCTTAGTGAGTTCCCCCAAAATTCCACATACCAAACATACAGTGGGCCCCGCCCAGTCATCGGGCCCCGTCCGGTTATTGGGCCCCGCCCGGTCATCGAGTTGAACTCGGAAAGCATATAAACACATACACATATAATATACATAGCATACAGATAGTCATCGGGCTCCGCTCGGCATTGGACCCTAGTTCACTAGCATAAAAACATAGGTACATGCAAGAGTTACGAAGACAACTAGCATTCTATCAGCATATCATAAACATGGTCCGGCCTTGGTGCTTTCAACCCGCTAAACCTAGTAAGGAAACTCACCTCGAATGCTGAAAGATAACTGGATAAATCCTCGGCGTCGGAAACAGCTCTACTCAACCCCTAAACAGAAACAATCCCTTAGATACTGATCAATATTTCAAAACCCCTTAAAGTTCAAACTTGGCCAAAGTCAAAGTCAAAGTCAAAATCAATGCTCCGAGTTGACTCAACTCGTCGAGTTATCCCACAACTCGCCGAGTTTCCATTAAGCACAAAATCGCGATATTTCGATCCAACTCGTCGAGTTTCCCTTTAACTCGTCGAGTTCCTCCTTTTTCAACAGAATCGAGACAAACCCAACCCAACTCACCGAGTTCCCTTAAGAACTCGTCGAGTTCTTCGGTCAGCCAACCCACTTAATGCATTAAGCCACTATTTTTCAAATTGAAGCCCTATCTTCCAGATCTAGACTGATAATACATCTAGAAGGGTAAAGTTTCCAACTTTACCCATTAAGAACCACCCCAAAGCCATTAAGCTCAAACCCTAATCCTAAAAGGCTTATGTCTTAATCTAAAAACCACCATATCTTCAAGATAGAGCTCATGAACACAGATCTGGACCTTAAAGACTAAAAGGTCAAGTAAAGTCTTCAACTTTACTCGCATGCAAGGCTAAAGGGAACTTAAAAGCTTAAAAGAGACCATAGCAAGGGCTTAATGGATCCATTGAGCCCTTAAGACCATAAAGTTGGCACCTTTATGCCACAAGAGCTCCATAGAACCATAGATCTGAAAGGGTTATCTCAATGGGACGACTAACTCCCATCAAACACTCTATCTCGGTTAAACATGCAAAATAATCCAAAGAAGGATATCTGAGCATAAACTAAGCAAGGTTGAGACTTTATACCAGAAATGTGTCGAAAATGAAGCAAGGATTCGAGATCTAGCAACTCCTTCTTGAATCACCAAACTTCCCTTTCTTCCAATGGCTTCAAACACACATAAAAACACTCAAAATAGCTCATAAACACTCAAAAAGTGCCTTAGGGTTTCGAGTTTAGGGTTTAGGACAATGGAGGCTGGAAATGAGGCCAACTTGTGGGGTTTAAGTTGTTTAAATACGGTGCAAAACCCAGGAATTAGGGTTTCATTTTTTCCAGCCAACTCGTCGAGTTGGTCACTTAAAATACGCGGTCCATATCATTTCAACACGACGAGTTCGGGGCCACCAACTCGTCGAGTTGCTCAATAAAATTGAATAAATTATAAGTTTAAATACATACCAGGAACCAGACATTACATAAAAGATGCATGTAAAATGCATCTAACAATAACCATCCTCATAGATAGTGACATCCTAATCCATCTGCCAATCACTCAGCCTTCGGCTGCAATCCTCGAGTCGATCATCACAATTGCTTCCTTTCTTAAGTCTCGCAACTCAACTGGCACTACCTCGAGCAAGTCCCTCGAGACCTCAACTAACTCACCTAGGTCTGCACCATTCAAACCCAAATTGGCATGTCCACTAAGGCCCAACAATCACCAGACTCATCCTCATCCTGAACAACCATAACCAATAAACCGATAAGACAAAAATACACGACAATTAATCATGGTGCCAACCATACCATCTACCTCAATCAGCTCCTTAGAATCCCCAAAATTTCCCCTGACTCAAGTACGGATCCTGTGCTTTCAGTAGTATGGACCCAATACTAACTTCCACACCTATCCATACTCTCCTCAAGAATCGTTTCAGATCCTCTAAGTAATTACTCATGTCCACTACCATCAGATCCAATCACATATACCCACTCTCAAATGAATACACACCGCTAAACAGCGCACCAATTCCTCTAAGGCACTTCCTAGGCTCTCCTAGGATCCCCACTTCACCCTGCCATCATCTGCTAAAGGACTCCTTCTAATGTCAGCTAACTACTTCGTGGATACAATTACATGCAATAAAACTTAAATAATCTTTTGACCAAAAGACCCAACCCTACAACAGTTGGACTCAGGCAAGAGCTGCGCAATAGGGCCAAATCAATCACTCTAAGATTATTTAACTTTCACAACATGTAACTTAAGATATTCATTTAATAGTTAACCCACATCAATAAGATTCCCATAAAGCACAGAGCAAGCATCATTCGTGAAGTAACACTCTATAGGCCACAAAACATAAAAGGCACCCTCCGACTAACTTGCTTCTGCGATGGTAGGAACTTCTACCAACACTTCTGGTTGCCTTATACATGTAAATTATACACAATACGATATCAAATAGATTGTCGAATAAATGATTCTACCCTAAGCCCACAACTACACGAGGAATAGGAAATAAGGCTAAATCAGTCATTCTATGGCTATATGATCTTAACCGTATCCAATTTTTAAACATACACTTAGCAATCAATTCCACCAACATAGATTCCAAATCTAACATAGCATCTAATTCCTTCTAGGCTACAAGGCATCACAAATCAGGCTATTATATCATGCAATTCCTGAAGGTATCATTATCCCTACTATAGCATGCAATTCACATAACAGGCATACTAGTCATATACTTAGGTATGAGTATTTTGGGAATCATTTACTTGAGCTTGGATGATTGCACGCATCACATCCTTTTTTCTTTATAGAAATATTTTTAAAAATTTTATTTCTTTTTTCAAAAAGATTAACTGTAACACCGTAAATTTTCAAATAATTTTTTCATTTAAAATTGCGTATTTCTCATAACATATTTCACATAAATCTCATTTATTTAATTTACAAATCACAACTCCATAATTGTTTGATTAAAATCCAGGATCTTCAAAACATAACTCTTTCACTGGTGTGTGTACAATCAAGCCGGTGTCTTCCCGCGATCCTGAGAAAACCTGAAACACATAACACATAACATGGTAAGCACGAAGCTTAGTGAGTTCCCCAAAATACCACATAAATCACATTAGCCACTCGAGGCTATAACACTGTAAGACCCTCCGGTCCGTGTGTCTCAGTGGGACCCTCCAG